TGTATTATTAACTTTTTAAAAAATATATTTTTGAAAAAATATTCACAATAATTCTGTGTTTTTGCTGGTCATAAAATTAAGCCATAAAACACAAACCTGATCATTTATCATACATTTTTGTCAAATAACGTGCTGCACAATGAGCTTTACTGTTAAAATTAAAACATAGATTATTCCTTAAATTCGGTTTTGTTTAAAAAATTCATAATTTATTTGGATTATTACATCTGGACATATCTAATATATTTTCTGTCAAGTTAAACCGAACTTTTATTTTGACGGGTTGCCGCGAAGATCTTTTGAGTTTCTGTGCATTTATGTCATGATGATAGTTTCTCAATTGAAGCGGGTAAATGATCACAAAGTGACTTTTAGAGTCGATCTAGAGCCTGGAGACGAAGTTCAATCATTTCTGTCTTCATATAGGCAAAAAATGCTTCAGTGTGTGTGTGTGTGTGGTAAATGAAACTGCGCGTCGGCTCCACTATTCATTCACATTCACACAGAACAAGGCAAGTAGGATTCGTTTATTCATTTAAATCGTCTTTGTGGTTTAATACTCACACACACTAGTCTACATCGCGATTTGATTTCAAGCGTACTGAACCGCTTTCTATTTATTCCTCGAAAATATACAGTAAATACCTTTTTTATGACTGGCCCAAAACAATCATAGGGGAAAAACCGCAACATTATTATCATTCTCATGTAGTTTAACTTGATGTGCTAAAATAACTAACATTTAAAAAAAATAACCATTATATAGACAAAAAAAAATTACAAAAATTAATAAAGAATATTAATAGAAACTATAATAATACTGCGTCTCATCCCACACATGACTGCTCTTTATGAAAGGCTAAGATGAACTTAAAGATGCTGATTTGACTGGATCTGTTCGTCCAACACACAGAAGATCACGTGAGAACCACCAATGATAGTCAGTGTATTGTTGTGTAGCTGATCATTTGCATAAAATCAGCATAAAAGTCATATCAGCACCAGGTATTATTGCTCATGTTGCAGGAAAAAACGTTCACTACAGATCATGTGCAATAAGAATAACAAAAAAGCAACGTAACCACAGAACAAGCAACTTCGATCTAGTTGTGGTTGAGCTGGCCGTTGTGGATTGCAACAACAAATGAAGAGAAACTGTGTCATGTAATTAAAGCAGCGAATGTCATTTGATTGTCATTCATTGAAATCAACACGTCAACCACTTCCTGTTTTGACAGGGACGATCATATTCATACAGCAGAGAAACACTCATCCATCACAGAGCAGAGATCAACATGGGTCTGAGAGCTGATGTGAATCCTGTAGACTCATAAGAGCTTACTGACAGACACACAATGACTCCTCTATTCCCCGTCACACACACGCCTCTCTCGCTTTAATTATCTCACATCATCTCACTTCACTCGACTGACTTTTAATGAGGAGACACTGGAGATTATCAAGACACCGAGGGTTATTAAACTAACATTACTTCATTGCTTAACAAACGCGCCTTGTGGCCAATCTCCACTGACTTTACATTCCCTCAGTGAGAGCAGAGTGTGAAGGTTGAATTAGCAGAGCAATAGCATAGCTTTTGCAATCCACACAACAACGTGAGACATATCAGAGTTCAAACAATTTGAGAGGACAAATTGTTGGTGTGTGTCTCACTGTGACCACGACAGTGTATCGAGAGCCGTGTTGGTCTCCAGGCCGTAGGGGTGTAACCATACCGAACTCACAATACCATATTATTGCGATACTCCAAGTCCAAAACATGAAACTGTTGATTCAGTGGACTTCTGGAAACAAAAAATCACTCTATATCATGTCTAGGTGTGTGATTCTTCCTGGAAATACGGCCTCCCTAAATATTTTTGCGCATGTGTGTGTGTGTGTTGCTGTTCGTATGTCTGTCGAGGGGTGAAGTCAGTATCCCTTATGAGAGAAAAATATATTTACCAATATATTACTTGAAATATATTGTAATATATTATTTTGGAAATACATGGAGTAATAAATTGATGATACATATATTATACAATATATTAAAATATGGTAATATATTGCAAAATATACAAATGATTGCCGCTTTCAATATACTGAAATATACGGTAAATGAATATATAATGTAATTATATATCCCAAAATATATGCAATTTTATATTTATTCATATCCACCATAATGTATTACAATTTGTATGGGATAATTTATTGGTAATGATATAGAGTCCCATGTATGTTCAATATATGGTAGAATATATATATATATATATATATATATATATTAGCACATATATTGCTGTATATTGAAGCATATAAAGACAAACTTTAAAAAGACACTATATGTAAAAAATATAGTGCCCTTTTTGGTCTTGATTGCAATATATGTATCAATATATATATATATATATATATATATATATATATATGAAGAGTTCAGATGCAAAAGCCTCTAAATGCCATTTGAAATTTTCTTCTTTAATGATGATTTGTATCAAGCTTGTATATTTAAGTTCAGTAATTTCACTTAAATAACAATTAATAGGTAATTATCATTGCCATTTAAGTGAAATTGCTGAACTTAAATATACAAGTTTGATAAAAAATTATCATTCTAGAAGAAAATTTCAAATGGCATTTAGAGGCTTTTGCATCTGAACTCTTCATATATATATATATATATATATATACATATATGGACTATGCATATATTGCAATATATTGGTCAATATAAATATTAAATCCTATGTATGGGAATATATTGCCTAATATATCACATGGTATTATCCAATATACTACAATATATTTTTGTTTCGTAAGGGATGGGTCGCCACACCGGGGCAAACGGACAGGAAACAGAGCAGAAGGACGAGCTGGACTTCCTGTCTGTGCAGGAACACCACGAGATGACACACACACTGCAACCGTACGCCATGCCAAAGCCTGCTGACACACACAGCTCATATTATAGCCTGTGTTTGTTTATGTTTACACTCAATTATTTGTCTGAAACTGTGGGAAATCTGGTGCTGATCTTAGAAATCATCTTCTACATGATGTGAGATCATATACTGTAGCCCTACAAAGGTTTGGGTCTGTAAGATGTTTTATTGTTTTTGAAAGAAGTCTCATCTGATCACTAAGGCTGCATTTGTTTAATCAAAAATACAGTAAAAAGAGTATTATTGTGAAATTTTATTTAAAATTAATTTATTTTATGATTTTTATTTGTATATAATTTAATATGCAATATTTTCCTGTGATCAAATCTCAATTTTCAGCATCATTACTCCAGTCTTCAGTGTCACATGATCCTTCAGAAATCATTATAATATGATGATTTGAAGCTCATTTCTGATTATTATTATCAATGTTGAAAACAGTGCTTCATTTTTTTTTTTTTTTGGAAATCGTCACATGATACATTTTGATGAGTAGAAAGTATTTTTTGAAATAGTGATCTTGAAGTCACATAGCAAAAAAATAAAAAATAATAATAATTATATTTATTTATTCCAAATCAGGGTTTTTATAGTGAACTAAAACGATTTAAAAAGATATTTAAAAAAAGATGAATATTCAGAAATTTTTAAAAAAAATATATACCTAAAAATAAATACAAAAAATTATAACAACTACAGACATTAAAAATAAACTCAGATGACATGAAAACTAAATGAACAAATTCAAAATATGAATAAAAACTATAATCAATGATCATAAAATAACACTGTTCCAAATATCAATGTGGCTGAGATGGGATCTGAAAATTTTGAATTTAATGTGATTTTAGTTCACACTGCCATCCAAAAAAACAGATCTACATCACACAAAAACACACATTTAGAGTGAACAAACAGCTGACCCATTCGAACATACAGTACTACAATAAAATACGTTTCTAAATATGGTCAATGCTGTTAAACCCTTTTACTGGTTTATTAAACTGAAATGTAAACCAGAGCAACATGCAAAACTTTCCAAGGATACTGACTGAAGTGAAACTAGGAGTTATTGTGGATGATGATGCAGCCCAGCCCAGCCCAGTGTTATCTGTGTGTGAACGAGGCAGCACCCTTCCTGTCATCTCACACACTTACAAACACACAGCTAGTCAGTGACAACAGACACATTTGGACCGAGTAGCAGTATTTGAACACCACCCACAAAGACTAAGACTGGCTGAACATGGTAAACACCTTTCACCTGACTCGCATGACGTGTCAACTGACACACCACACGTCATTTACTAGTAAAGTGCCAAATAAGATCAGCAGAACCTCTTCACTACTGACAAAGACAACAGGCTTCAAAACTGACATATAGAAGTGTTTTAAAACTGATAAAACCAGTGAAACGCCTTCAAAACAAGCACATGACCATACTTTTACAATCATGTAACTGCAATTACTCGGAAAAACAACATCATAGTATTCCTCAAACACTATCAAGACTCAAATAAGCATCTGTATATCCCACTAAACGAGTGTACTAACTAGCATTTGACATGGTACCACAACACATGTCAGTCATTCAATATCATGGTCAAAATATCCATTGTGTTAAACATATTATTCCATCAACTGTACAAATAACAAACAAGACATAAAATGAATATACACTATGAAGGTGTATGATTAATATCAACACTATTGCATCTAATCCTCTAGTATGTATACTACAGTACAGTATAAAGCATATAGCATAGTTTCAAGTGCCAAGTACCGTATGTTTTGCATATGGTCTCATGGCAATACTATGAAATTAATTTAAGTATATTGGAGAACTATGCCACTACAATAGAGAATGAATATGATAATCATTCATCCATAGTTGCCTATTTAAGAGTACTATGAGCTCGAAACACAAGCTAGTTCCTCAACTTCACTGTTTCCTGAACACACTGATAGTGTACTGTACATCCAGACTCAGGGCGTCCCCGAAACACGCGTTCAGGGGCGTCGCGTCGCTGAGACCCGTGTGAACCCCCTCACCTGGTGCAGCGTCTCGGCCGGCAGCTGCGACGCCCGGAACAGATCCGCCACTTTCCCCGCCGCCGGTATGCCGAGGCTGTCGGGCTGACAGAGCGCGTACAGCGCGGAGTAACATCTCTGCTCAGTGTCGCTCAGGGAAAGGAAGGTCCCTCCGGTGCCCGCGGCAGATCCCGGATCCATGCCCGAGTGCGAGCCGCAGACGAACGGCCTCTCCGTGGCCCTGTGGCGGAGGGAGGCGCGTCGCGTCCGCTCTGCGGTGCTCTAGCACAGGCACATATTAACACACACACACACTCGCACTGTGAACTCAGATGGAGATTAGCTAAATCTCTCAGTTCCACATCCGACCGCACGGAGGCGCCACAGAACCACACAAAACGCTTACTACACACAGGTTTAATATTTTGTGGTAATATCTACAATTTGTTGAGTGATTCCACTGATGTTAAATCTATTTTAATAAATATAGAGAGAGACTTTAGATAATACTTTAGATACAATTTAGATAAAACATGTTTCAGTGCACTTGCTTCAAAACGTTTAAAATATTTCAAATAGCCTATTGTAGATTAAATATTTAAGTTTATTTTGGATATTGAGAATTATTTAGATTAATATTTATTTTAATATGTATTTCCCATCATTTAATATTTAATAGATATTTCGATTTGTATTCAAGATTTGCATTTAAAAAGTTACATTTATATTAAATATGTATATTTACATTTTATTTTCAATGTTTAAAGACCTAACATTGACACGATTTAACATTTCATATGTATATCAAACATTTATATGTAGGCTACATTTGCATTTGATTTGAAATATTTAATATATGAAAAGAAAATACATTTTAAAATTGCTAGAGGCATTTGTTTATACTTTGTTTTTTACTAAAGAGAGTTGCAATTTCAAATGGTAAACTATTCATCTAAAAAAAAAAGAAGAAGAAGAAGAAGATATTTTGAATATTTTGGATGAATCACCTTTGTTGATCCTCCTCCGTTAGATCTGTACTGCCATCTTGTGTCGGGTAAGAGCACTCAGTGGGGTGATGAATGATAATGAAAGGGCAATGAAAGCTTGAAGGTTTGAGTTAGTTAATATCAGAACAGACACTTCACACGCCACACATGAAGAACTGAAGCTGTCATAACTTCAGCCACATTTTATTTCTGATAACACAACTGACTACGATCACACCGCAGTGTTTTGGATTGACAATCGCATTTACTTACTGTACAGGTGCGAGTCTCGAAATGTCCCGTTCACACTGCAACTTACATAATCGCCTCGATCCGAATCCTGTCTGAAAGCATACCGAAGACTCAAACACATGCACGGCCACAGAGGCCTATTTCCCTCGGGTCATCTTGGACTTTGCTCGAGTTAATGCATCCTCAGTCCCACTATAAAGGATGAGCGTGTTGACTGAAACTCTCACGTGAACAACAGTTCACTCAGCATGACATTTTATGACATTTACACGACAGACAGACACTAATTTAACAGCTTCATTCTTCTAAAATTCTTTTGGAATTTGCTGATGTGGAAAAAGTAATCGAAATGACACCAAAATCCCATGAAGCACACAGCAAAATCTCTCTAAAGCCATTAAAAAAAAAAAAAAAAGAATTTAAACCTCTGAAAATAAGATATATTTCCATGAGTTAGATGTTCTGTCCTGTTTTCAGATAGCCTATCTTGAATTAGGTATTGTTTTTTTTTTTTTTTTTTACCCCATTGGCAGTATTGTTTCTTGTTTTAAGCATAAATGTAATACAATTTAGTAAGTTTATGTTTATAAAATTGCCACGGGCTATAAGAAAAAACACTATTCAAGATATATTCTCTGAAAAAATGTAATATCCGATGCTATGTTGCTTCTCAAATGCGTTTATCTTGTTGCAAGGTTGTTTGTTTCATCTTATCTTGAGCGAATGATTTATTTTAGTGGTCTTAGTAAGTTACAATATTTGCATAAGAGATTATTATATATACAGCAACCTAAAACTTTTAAATGGTGTGTGTGTGTTAGAGTTTCACAATGTTTTTTTTTCTTTAAAAAAAGTCTCTTATGCTCAACAAGTCTGCATTTATTTATTAAAATCCAGTTAAAAACAGTACACTCTAAAAAAAAATGCTGGGTTGTTTCAACCCATATTTGGGTCAAATATGGACACCCAAATGTTGGGTTAAAAATGCAATTTAAACATGTACAGTTGAAAGTGAAAGTTGAAGTTGGGTAAAAATTTGAAATGACATTTTTAACCCAACATTTGGGTTCGTCCATATTTGACCCAAATTTGGGTTCAAACAACCCAGCATTGTTTAGATTGTATAATATTGTGGAAATCATTAATATGCTATACTATTACACTCTAAAAAAATGCTGGGTTGTTTTAACCCAATTTTGGGTAAAATATGGACAAACCCGAAATGTTGGGTTAAAAATGTAATGTAAAAATTTAACCCAACGGCTGGGTTAGTCCATATTTGACCCAAAGTTGGGTTAAAACAACCCAGCATTTTTTAGAGTGTACACTCTAAAAAAATGCTGGGTTGTTTTAACACAATTTTGGGTAAAATATGGACAAACCCAGCCATTGGGTTACATTTTTAAAATACATTTTTAACCCAATGGCTGGGTTTGTCCATATTTTACCCAAAATTGGGTTAAAACAACCCAGCATTTTTTAGAGTGTACACTGTTTTAACCCAAATTTGGGTCAAATATGGACAAACCCAAATGTTGGGTTAAAAATTTAATTTAAAATTTGAACCCAACTTCAACTTTCACTTTCGACAGGGAATTTTTTAATTACATTTTTTTTACCCAACATTTGGGTTTGTCCATATTTGACCCAAATTTGGGTTGAAAGAAGAGTGTATCGATCGAAAACAACATGATACTTTTTTTCAGGATTCTTTGGTGAATAGAAAATTTATTTGACATAACATTTAAGTCTAAAATAGTCCTGTTACTTTTTATCAGCCAAATTATTTTTAAAAACCGACCCTAAAACATATATAATGGCACTTGAGGTGTGTGACAATAATAAATGAGTAAACCCGGCCTCTTTATTAGGTGACAAATTAACCGACTCATCGTTTCAGTGTCAGAGGATTGGTTAACCATCAAACTTGTTTCAAGTCTGACGTGTTTTTTCCTGCTCTTGAAAAGCTTTCATCTCAACAAGCAAAGGAAAGATGCAGTTTCAATCATCAGGGGTTCACAGAAAGAACAGCCTTCATTTGAGAACTGATTTCCCTTGTATGGTTCAGAAACGCCCACGCCTGACCCTCGTTCGTGAGTACGCCGTCACTCTGAAGTGCAGTTACCGACGCCGTACTCGGAAACAAAAACAGAAGAAATGACGTTCAGATTCATGTTGATATCACACACGGCACTGCTGTAAACAGCCTGTGTTTACATAGACGAGAAGACAGGCTGGGATGAAAACAACGCAGGTCAGCGCAGACACATCTGTTGTTATGATGAAGAGAAATCATCCGCGATTACGGACCTGAGAGCAAACACAAGAGCTGTTTACACACTCCCAATATAATTTCCAAGCAAGCAGCAATCCTTTCACATGTACATTTATGTTCTCGGCTGACTGTGAATATATGGTGTTTGTTGTTCTCTCTCTCTCTCTCTGGAGGAAGGTCTAGTAGTCATTAACCATTAAGCGTCTCCGTCCAGCCCTTTGTATCTTGTGTTCTGAGCGGTTTATAATCTGTGAGCGCCGAGTTCAGTGGCGTGTGTGTTAAAGCTCATCCAGATATCCAGAGATGCGCAGCGCAGTTCTTCTCCTGATACTCCTGCCGTCCATGGCAGCCAAAGACCTCTGTAAAGGTAAAACATCTCCAGAGTCTGTTTGAGTCAATCGTTTTGCTGTGATCTTTGTGCCTGGTCATCTGTTCTCTATGGAAGCTTGTTTCCGCCACAGATTGAAAAATAAAAAAGGTAATTGCGACTTTTTATCTCACAATTCTGACTTTATTTCTCGGAATTGCGTGATATAAAGTCAGAGTTGTGAGATTTAAACTATTCTGAGGGAGAAAAAGTATTTTTTCCCCTTAGAATTAGCCTGATAACTCGCTATTGCGAATTTATATCTCACAATTCTGAGAAAAGATGTGAGAATTTTGACATATAAACTCGCAATTATGTGTTATAAAGTCAGAATTGCGAGATGTAAACTCGCAGGGATTAAACTTGTAAACTTGCGAGATATAAAATCCTGACTTTATATCTCGCAATCCTGACTTTATATCTCACAATCCTGACTTTATATCTCGCAATTCTGACTTTATATCTCACAATCCTGACTTTATATCTCGCAATCCTGACTTTATATTTCGCAATTCTGACTTTATATCTCGCAATTCTGACTTTATATCTCGAAATCCTGACTTTATATTATATCTCGCATTATATCATATCTCGCAATCCTGACTTTATATCTCGCAATCCTGACTTTATATCACACAATTCTGACTTTATATCTCACAATCCTGACTTTATATCTCACAATCCTGACTTTATATTTCGCAATTCTGACTTTATATCTCACAATTCTGACTTTATATCTCGCAATCCTGACTTTATATTTCGCAATTCTGACTTTATGTCTCACAATTCTGACTTTATATCTCGAAATCCTGACTTATATCTCGCAATCCTGACTTTATATCTCACAATCCTGACTTTATATCTCGCAATCCTGACTTTATATCTCGCAATTCTGACTTTATATCTCGCAATTCTGACTTTATATCTCGCAATTCTGACTTTATATCTCGAAATCCTGACTTTATATCTCGCAATCCTGACTTTATATCTCGCAATTCTGATTTTATATCTCGCAATTCTGACTTTATATCTCGAAATCCTGACTTTATATCTCGCAATCCTGACTTTATATCTCGCAATTCTGACTTTTTATCTCGCAATTCTGACTTTATATCTCGCAATCCTGACTTTATATCTCGCAATTCTGACTTTATATCTCGCAATCCTGACTTTATATCTCGCAATTCTGACTTTATATCACGCAATTCTGACTTTATATCTCACAATTCTGACTTTATATCTCGCAATTCTGACTTTATATCTCGCAATTCTGACTTTATATTTCGCAATTCTGACTTTATATCTCGCAATTCTGACTTTATATCAAGCAATTCTGACTTTATATTTCGCAATTCTGACTTTATATCTCGCAATTCTGACTTTATATTTCGCAATTCTGACTTTATATTTCACAATCTTGGCTTTATATTTCGCAATTCTGACTTTGTCTCGCAATCCTGACTTTATATCTCGCAATTCTGACTTTATATCTCGCAATTCTGACTTTATGTCTCGCAATCCTGACTTTATATCTCGTAATCCTGACTTTATATCTCGCAATCCTGACTTTATATCTCGCAATTCTGACTTTATATCACGCAATTCTGTCTTTATAACACGCAATTGCGACTTTATATCACATACAGGGAAGACAAAGCAGTTTTATTTTTACATTTGATGATTCAATTTCTGTTTTGCACATTATTGTAATGCATATTATTTAACGAGTTATCGCACTTTTCTTCAATGTCTTGCAACCCTATTTACAAGCACACTTTTACACACTTCTCATTGTAAAAATCTCCTTTGAGAAAACATCACATTGTTACTGTAATGCAAAAAAATAACAATTATATATTATTTAAATTTTTTCAATCTAATGTAATTTTATGTAATAAAACCATAAAGATCCTTATTTACAAAAAATAGCAAAAGTAAAATATCTGTATGCATTATAATGAGAATTTTACAGAAAATTTTTTAATGCCATCTAATCAATGTTATTTTAATATACTTTTTATTAATATTTTAATCAGAATTATTTTTTATATATTTTCTGTTTTCAATTTGCTTTTAGTTTTGTGTTCAATTTTTTAAATATGTCTATATAATATTAATTAATTAAACTGATTTATTAGCTATTTTAGTACTTCAAGTAACACTAAATTTATTTTTATTTTATTTTACTTCATAAAAAAATGTAACAACATAAAAAAACAACATAAAAAAATGTTGTTTGAGTTCAAATTAAGTTAACAATAATAAATTGAAAAATTATAATGCTCCTAAAACAGGCTTCACAGTCTTTACAAAACCTTTTTGACTATTAGCCTATTTTGTGATGTTTGTGAGAAATTCGCCTGGAAAAGGGCGATTCAGGATACATTTCAGCGAAAGAAGAAAGTGAAACGGTTCAGAGAGAGTGTGAAATTGCAGTGAAATGTCTTCAAGAGAGTTTAAATAAGGATAAAAAAACATCTAAACATCCTAAACTTGATTATGCCACTTTGTTGTCTGACCAAAAGCACAGACTCTTATCTCATCCTCTCGAGAAACCACTGAGAAATAAAGTGACGAATGAATTCCCAAACGACGATCTTTTAGGACACACACTGCAGAAACCTTATCAGCCCACAAAGAACAGAAAGTACACAGGTCTACACAACAACAACAGCAGCACAAGATTATTTGTGAATAAACTATCTCTCTCTCTCTCTGTAGACAGCATGGATGGATTTAAAGTCAGACTCAGCATTAAGACGGCCCTCGGGGATAAAGCAGTAGGGTTTGGTTTTGTTTCACCTCTTTTCATTTAGTTTCATAATTTTATTCAGGTATATTGATCTCCTGTGCAGATTGTTAAATAAATAAACATTTCTTTCTCTCTCTCACAGTATGAGTGGAATAAGAGTGAGATGTTTCTCTTCCAATCCACTCTGGCGTTTGCGATGAACCGCGCTAATAAATCTAATCAGGATACAAACTACAAGTGAGTAGAGCGCCACTCGCCCACACACGCCATGATGACACACTTAAAACAAGATAAATCAACGCCAAAACTGCTCGATTCACGGCTGTGTGTGTGTGTGTGTGACTGAAAACGTGAGCCGAATGGTTTGGCCACAGCCGGTTAGTAAGAGTCACGTCTCTGAGTTAGTCATGCATGTGGGGGAGAGGGTCAGATTTTGTCATCACTGTCAGGAGCAAATGTCCCGACAAGGCTGTAAACCAGTCCACGGTTGCAACAGTGTGAAACATTGAGGTGCTAAAACGCAACATGGGTTGTTTAGACACAGACAGCCAATCGCAAGCCTCCTTGATGCTTGCTTCATTAAATATGCATGTGCTCTGCACGGGTGAAGACACTTTCAAATGCTGGGTGCACTTTTAGTACCTGAGGGAATCTGCTAGTGTTTCAGAGGACTTGAGACAACTAAAGTGAATTATTTGGCAACATTTCTAGATGGAAAAGCAGTTATTGGATTGTTGCATTGCATGCTGCACGTGTCCTGTCAATGTTATTAATCTCATAAATATTCAAATGAGAACATTCTTTCAGATGAAGCAACTTGGTATTGCTTTTGTTGCGCTCCATTGCTTTGCATTGTTATAACTTTGCATTACTTTTAGGGCTGTCAAACGATTAATCGCGATTAATCGCATCCAAAATAAAAGTTTGTGTTTATATATAATATATGTGGGTGCACTGTGTATAATTATTTTGTATATATAAATGCACACACATGCTTGTATATATTTAAGAAATATTTTCATGTATATACTAGATTTATATATGATTTATATTATATATACATATAAATATTTTATATATAAATAATATTTTTTTCTTATACATATACATGCATGTGTGTGTATTTATATATACAAAATAATTATACACAGTGCACCCACATATATTATATATAAATACAAACTTTTATTTTGGATGCGATTAATCGCGATTAATCGCTTGACAGCCCTGGACAAAGTACACAACTTCCTTACTTGAGTGAAAGTACAGATACTACTGGTCAAATATTACTCCGTTACAAGTAAAACTATTAAAGATTGATTTTTACTTATATGTACAGAAGTACTTGTTTTTAAAAGTACTTGAGTATCAAAAGTACAAAGTAAAGTATCAATGCATTGTTATATTATTGTTGCATTATTACAGGACCTTATGACTCTGAAGCAACCAGTGAATACATTGACCAGTTTGTAGTTTTGTAGTGTGGAGCTTTAAGAATGTCACAAAACCTATAGAAATTAAACAACTGAATCTATAAAAAAGACATTTTTTTATTTAAAGAAGTAGTTCACTTTTGAAAAAAACTTTTGCTGATAATTTACTCACCCTCATGTCATCCAAGATGTCCATGTCTTTCTTTCTTCAGTCGAAAAGAAATTAAGGTTTTTGATGAAAACATTCCAGGATTTTTCTCCATATAATGGACTTCAATCGAATCTTTTTCCGAGTCAATTCGTTCGTTTCGTTGGTTGAATGAACCAAATGAATCAGAAAAAGATTCATTCATTTTGATGAACGAGTTCGAACAGGAGAGTCACAAACGCACATCACAGTACACAGCAAGGTGACCATTTGAGCTTATAAAACAAACTTTGTTATTTATTTTTTAAATGAGCGATCGTTTCGCTTGACAAGACCCTTATTCATCGTCTGGAATCGTTTAACCCCTTAGCTGTCACCCCCCTTTTTGAGAATGGGGGTTAAAATGCACTATTCAAACTTAAATGGTTGTAATTTAAGAATGCTTTGGAATATATACTCAAGTTTGGTCTTGTTTTAAAAAAACACTCAGCAGAATATTGCTGAAGTGAAAACACTTCAAAAAATGAAAGTATGAAAAAGTTATGGAAGTTTAAATTTACAGTAAATTAAATATACTGTACTATATATTTTTTATTTTATATAAAATATATATTTTATAAAATATTTTTTACACTAAAATTTCTATAAAATCAAAGCCATACATCTTATCAAGTTATGTTCCAAATTTGAAGTTGATATCACAAAAATTTAAGTTCCCATGAGATTTTGTTTAGGCGTAGTACCAAAAATAGCCACCGGGTGCCATAGAATTCCATTGAATTTAGTTGTATACATTCTGCCTAAACAAATTAATAAATTTCTGTCCAAATATCAATTCTGTCACAAAACATTGAGACTCTGACCTTTCTGACAATATCAGTTTTGTCAAGATTAGAAAAGGTTTTGATCATAAATTATGAAATATAATGATGCCCAAAAGGGGAGGAGTCTGATAAAATAAGTACCGTTTCTATGGTAACGCAACTTTCAATTATAAAACAGTTTTCACACGATGAATTCTGAGTTTATAAGCTTTCAAATGATACCTAATTTATGATAACTACTAAAATATGTGATATAATAAAAAAGGCGATAAAAAATTATATTATATTTTAGAGGATAATAAATATAAATATTATCATTTTGAGAGGATAATATTGTACTATATTTTTTTTTTATTATTGAAAAATACTAGATTATATGTTTATTATGAACTTTTAGCATAAAAACTGAAGTTTCAATGATTAAAAGTGGGTTCATCAACTTTTTGTGACAAAGGTCAAAACTCCTGTTATGATGCAGATTTTTTGATGTGTACTCTTGTCATAAATTCATCAATTACTCTTCCTACACAATTTTTAACACAAAACAGGGGTAGAATATCTATTTAGAAGTCTTAGACATTTCCAACAATATATAATTTGTCATAATTAGATTAGGATTTAATAGAAATATAGTGAAGTAAAGTTAGGCGTCCCGGTACCGGGACGGTGACAGTTAAGGGTTTAAAGCCCGTTGAACAGTTTGCAGTTTGCACTGAAAGAGTCTTTTGGACCTTGAACCGTTTGGTTCCCATTAAAGTCCATTATATGGAGAAAAATCCTGGAATGTTTTCATCAAAAACCTTAATTTCTTTTCGACTGAAGAAAGAAAGACATGGACATCTTGGATGACATGGGGGTGAGTAAATTATCAGCAAAAGTTTTTTTTAAAAAGTGAACTACTCCTTTAAAGTAACAAGCTTCCAGAAAAAAAAAAATAGTAAAAGTAAAGTACAGATACTCAAAAAGTGTACTCAAGTACACAATGTTACAATGTTACACAATGACAAAAGGGTTAACAATTTCAGATTACATAATGTTATATTGCTTTGCATTGTTTTGTGTAACATGAAAAAATCGTGTATTTTCGTGTAAAAACGACAGAGCTGTTTTCCATTTCAAGCATGAAATCTTAATATCGGTCAGTTTTGGAGCTTGTCTGCCGTTATGTTCTGCGCACCGCTTATCAGCCATCGGCATCACTGGCAGAGTTTTCCTCTGGCTAACACCATTTCTTCGCACAAGGCAGTAATTTGGTTCTATTGAGGAACATAGATCATGTACTGTTCCAGTCTAACGCGGTGTGTCCCCCAAGGCTCCAATCACGGCCCTCTCCTCTTTCCAATTTATATGCCTCCCCTTCGGCAAATAATTTGACGGCACGGTCTCAGATTCCCTTGCTACGCTGCTGACACACAAATCTATATCAGCTTCCAGGCCAGACCAGCATTTCAACAGCCTTCCTTATCTTTTTTTCCTCACTTGGATTTAGGCATTTGAACAAACTCCTAACCCTAAGTAGCTAACTTTGTCATGTTTCTCATCCCACTCTAAGCCCTGGGATAATATGTTAAAGATTTGTGATCAGACCTATGATCGGGTTTGAAAAAACCATAGCGAGACACTAATAACAGCATCTTTTGTACAAGCAAGTACCGCTCACATTACATGCTCTCGTATTGCATTTGTTAATATTACGATTAGATAAATGATATGCTTTAAAATTAAATCCGACAAAATATCACATATCAGGTAACGTTGCTTTACACTGAATATGCTTGATGTGCAATGAGTTGATATCATTTTGCGTAATGACGGATTAATACCAAAGCCCTTTGATCTAGCATTAATTTTACACATTTAATAATAACTGTGATCTTCTACAGGTGAAAAGAAAAATGCACGATGTTATTTTGGACTGTCCTGTTTTAGTGCATTAAACGTTTTCCCCCTTAATTATATTCTTGCATTTGGGCCGCTCACAGTTGTAGGGAAAGCAAGACTGATTAATTTTGCGGGTGTAATTGCGGGCCAATATAGATGCTAATGGGTCAAGGGAAATCAATTGCGGTTAACCTTTCCCAGCCAGATACTAGCTCCTAACGATTGTGAAATCTCACAGCTGAAGTGTTGCAGAGATGCTTGAGGCTTGTTTGTGAGAGAAGCGCAGTATTGATTGATACCGGGACGCGGGATAGGGAGTCTGTGGTTCTTTTGCAGCCTCATGTTACATTGATGATGAGACGCCTGCGTGATTCTCTTGATTCTCACTGCATCCAGTATGCAAGCGGGAAACTAAAGTCTACTGACGTTATGTGATTTACTGATTTATTGGCAATTATTTTTATTAATAACTATGCATCCTTAAAACAAGATAGTTTTTTTGATTTACTTGAGAAGCAAAACTGCATCAAATAATAAGACTTAAGGCTTCAGAGAATATACACTACGTTCAAAATGTCGGGGTAAGAGCAGCATTTATTTGAACAAAAATAACGTAATATATTCAATTTAAATATATTTAAAATTCCAGTGATCAAAGCTGAATTTGTCACATGATCCTTCAGAAATCATTCTAATATGATGATTTAATGCACAAAAAACATTTCTGATTATCATCATCATTATATCATATTATGTTGAAATTGGAAAATAAATATTTTTTTTAAGTATTTATTGACATATTTACTTTTTAAGTAGGAAATTTGAGACATGTTAAAGGGCTCATCCTCATACTCCCCAAAAATAAAAAATTATATATACATACATATTATATTATATATATAGTTATAGTTATATAGGCTATACAATAGGATTTAGCATCTCATAGTAGATATTTGTAGAAGGGACAATCTTATTATTAAGAGCATTTGATCAAATCAAAGTCTTTGATTTTTTCTTTGTTTTTCCAGACTGTAAATTTTAAATGTAGAAAATAAAAAATCCAAGGTACTCTTCTTCAAAACGATTTAAAAAGCCTTTCTTTACCAGCTATTTTATGATAGAAAATTAAAAGACATAATGAGAAACAACCCACGTGTAGCGGTGCACACATTTCTCCTGGGTAAAAAACGTGACTGCTAAAAGTTAACTATATGTCAACAATGTATACACTAATTAGATTTAAAACGTGAAAAAACAATTAGTTAACAATTACGAAACAAAAGATTTATAATATATTCTCTAAAAAACGCCTTATAATAATTTATTTATTATTTATTATAATATTTATTTATTTTTATTTATTATTTAAATTAGGCAAATTAGATTTAAAACATGAAATAAAAAAAACAATTAGTTAAGAAACATAGTTCATAAACACATAAATTCGAAATTTATATATAAAAAAGCCTCATTATCTCACACATTTTTGCTTCTCATATCAATGACCAAAATGTTGTTGTTTTTTTGCTGTGTATGTGTGTGTGTGAGGCTGTTTTATCATTTCCAGTGCATTTTCTATGCCCTCATTTCTTTTTTTCCTGTACTGCAACCAAAATCACCACATAACAAACATTAACCTATTCTTAATCTTTTCCAGTATTGAAAACATACTAGTGTGCAATGATACGAAAAGAGTGTCGTTCGTGTTCGTGGTGACGTCGCCAGATGATCCGAGCAAACTGGTCCCCAAAGAACAAGTGGAGCAAGCAGTGAGGTGAGTCAATGCTGTGCTGCGGGTTATAGGGTTAGCCTTTATGTGCAGATCGCTCACTAACTGACTGCACATGGCCATCAACGTGACATGATGCTACTCCCAAAATGACGGCTGTTTTAAACACTCCAATTGAGTCGCCTTGCTGAATGCTTATTATCCTTGTGCGCTTAACTGTATTTAATGTGCACTTGTAGTGTATTTCAAATCTTAAACTGTGTTTGCATTTAATGAATTACAGAGCTCGTGACATACTTTATCCCCAGACCTGTTAAACATGAAATTATTTTGCAGTCATTTAAGTCTTAAAAGATTTTTTTGGCATAAAGCGTTCTTTAAAATTGAGTCATGAACCCTAAGGTTTTAATTCTTCACTCTTAGAAGAAAAGGTTCTATATAGAACCTTAAAAGGTTCTATCAGCACTACGTATTTGGAACCCCTAAAAGGTTCTATACACTCTTAAAAAATGGTTCCTCTGGGTTCTATATAGAACCCTGGGGTTCCATACTTGGCCAATAGAACCTTTTACCCAAAAAAAAAAATGGTTCTATATAGAACCATTTTGGAGTTCCATATATGAAGCGGGGGATGGAACCATTTCTGGTTCTAAATAGAACCATTTCTTCTAAGAGTGTTCACTTCTGTCTTGCAAAATAAGGTGGATATCATCTAGATCTGTGATGATTATCCTTTAGCTTGCCAGACTCCCCAACACGTGATTTATAATTCCAGGTTGAGTAAGCATCGCATAAACAGTGCGTTCCTGTTATCGGACATGACCCTGGAGTTCGTGGGAATCCCGCCGACGCTGGCGGCCCCGGTCAAATACGACACTCCTCCTTGGCTCATCGTGTTTGGTGTGGTCATGGGTGCTGTGGCTGTGGGGATCATGGCTTTACTGACGTCTTCAGTTAGCAAAAGACGACGGTCAGTAGTGTTCTTTTGGCAGATATTAATATCCATTTAAGGTGATCTGACCACAAGACAGACTGAGGTTTAACCACACACTTAAAGGGATACTTCACCTCTGGAAAGATCAATGTGTATTTAAAATGGGTCATTTATGTAGAAGAAATGTGAAATTATGTTTGAATTTGGAGCTTTCTAGACTGAGAAAAGCCAGAAAATGTATTTTTGGCTTATGTGGATGAAAGACAACAACTCCCAGAATGCACTTGCTTCACTGTCCTAGGAGGCCACGCCTACCGGTAACAGAGCGCAGTAGTTAAACAACAAGTCTAGGCTACTAGTGAGTCTCCGTGATGAGTCTGGCCGAAAATGTGTTTTGAGATCGCCCAAAATGTCCGGGATTCGTCTTTTGCGTTCTCCAGTCGCCATTCGTCATGTTTACTGTGGCGAGCGGGACGAGTGAGGGTGGCGTGATTAACGATGAGCGACACCTGTGAGACGCACCGGTCTCGTATCTCTCACGGAGGAGCGGGAATTTTTTTAGCAATGTTAAAACACACATCAGCTGATCACTTGTTTAGCGTTCATGTAAACACTACATTCAGATCCACCAATGGAATGAATTCAGTTCGATTGAAACAAAAGCTGTGCATGTAAACAATGAATGGCGACTGCAGAAAGCAAAAGCTGAATCCCGGACATGTCCAGGAAAAAGAAGATGGTAACCCCAACTACTCAGCTTTCTCCACAGAACAAGAGCGAGTGAGATCGCCCCCTATGGGCGGGTTGAGAATATGCGGGACAGACCCGACTACTGACTGAAGTCTTTAGCCTCCAGACAAAAAAAATCCTCAGATGAAGCAAAATGACGATTTTTGCGTCATCGGTGGATTTTTTCCAAAAACAAAAAATACATAAATCTCTCATCTCAGGGGGATATGAGGGTGGAAAGCATGGTAATTTCAAAAATACTACAGGTTTCCTACAAATACAAAGCTTAATGCTAAATCCTGAAGTATCCCTTTAATCTAATGTGCCCACAAGTGATACAATTTTGTGTTATCACATTACAGCAGAGCAAACTAAAGTAAATGTTAAACTGTCCTCTCTCATATGTACTGTATTGACCTTATGTAGCTCCGCCCCTTTTCGTGTTCTGTCTTCCGGTTTGTATTTCAACAGCATGGAGGTGACATCTTACGGATTTATAAATGAACCGCTTGTCTTAATATCTAAATTTTAACTTTCATTAACTCGACAGCAATGCCATAGAAATATACAGAGCTACTGCAAAATTCGAAAGATTTTCTCTGCCGCATAAGGTCTATACAGTATTTTTTTTTTTCAGTAGGTCAGTAGGTGGAGAGCAGACAGTGTTTTGTGGCTGTTTGAACACATTCAACCACAAAATGCGTTTTTTTGTTTCGCCAAAATTTGGAAGAGGTCGAAAGTGGACTAAAACAAAGCTCAACGTGTTTTAGACCCTCCACTCTTAGAAGAAAAGGTTCTATATAGAACCTTAAAAGGTTCTATCAGCGCTATGTATTTGGAACCCCTAAAAGGTTCTATACACTCTTAAAAAAAGGGTTCCTCTGGGTTCTATATAGAACCCTGGGGTTCCATACTTGGCCAATAGAACCTTTTACCAAAAAAAAATGGTTCTATATAGAACCATTTTGCAGTTCCATATATGAAACGGGGGATGGAACCATTTCTGGTTCTAAATAGAACCATTTCTTCTAAGAGTGTGTTTACACCTTTATTTAGCGTTGTGATCCGATCGACCGAAACACATCTTTATAGCCAGGTGTAAACATGGCCTTGATGTTACCTACCCTGTATTCTGATCTGACCTGTTTATGATGCTTTACCCACCACAGAGCCAAAGACAAAGCTGCTGGTTTTGCAGAAGAGGACGGCGGAATAGTCACAGATAACGGAACATCACTTTCAAGCCTTAAAGGGAAAGACGGCGTCTATAATCAAGCGTTCTCAAACGACGACCGCTTCACCCAGCTGTAGACAGAGAAGAAGTAAAGCCATTCAGTATCGCATAACCTCTAAAATGCTTCAGATATCCCAAAGAATGATATTCATGTATTGAGTAGTTCACTTTCACAAAACTTTTGCTGATAATTTACTCACCCCCATGTCATCCAAGATGTCCATGTCATTCTTTCTTCAGTCGAAAAGAAATTAAGGTTTTTGATGAAAACATTCCAGCATTTTTCTCCATATAATGGACTTCAATGGGGTCCAAACGGTTCAAGGTCCAAAAGATAGATTCAGTGCAAACTGCAAACTGTTCAAAGGGCTTTAAACGATTCCAGACGATGAATAAGGGTCTTATCAAGCGAAACGATCGCTCATTTAAGTTTTATAAGCTCAAATGCTCGCCTTGCTCTGTTCTGTGATGCACGTTCGTGACTCTCCTGTTCAAACTCGTTTATCAAAATTAACAAATCTTTTTTCGAGTCATTTGGTACATTCAACGAACGAAATGAACGAGTTGACTCGGGAAAAGATTTGTTCATTTTGACAAACGAGTTCGAATAGGAGAGTCACAAATGCGCATCACAACCTAACCCTAACAGAGCAAGGTGAGCATTTGAGCTTATAAAACTTAAGCGTTGTTATTTTTTTTCTTAAATGAGCGATCGTTTCGCTAGATAAGACCTTTATTCATCGTCTGGAATCGTTTAAAGCCCTTTGAACAGTTTGAAGTTTGAAGAAACTGGTCCCCTATGAAGTCCATTATATGGAGAAAAATCCTGGATTGTTTCCATCAAAAACCTTAATTTCTTTTCGACTGAAGAAAGAAAGACATGGACATCTTGGATGACATGCGGGTGAGTAAATTATCAGCAAAAGTTTTTTCAAAAGTGAACTACTCCTTTAAACTGTAAACAATCAGCAAAAGATTCGCTCTATGACTGTAATGAGCATTTTCAAACACTGGGTAAAATGAAACGTTATTCTAAACACCCTTCAACCATTGAACAATAAAAGGACATTTAAAAGTGTAAAAGCGTTAACAAATAGACCATAAACAATTGTCACTGTCTGTATTATCTAACATACGTTGCCTTAATCAAAAATGTTCATTAACTGGGACATTGAGTGATCATTTAAATTGACTTTGACAGACAATAAATATTATATTGACCTGCTCTTGAAGCATTCAAGTAAACATTGCTAAAACTAATTTAAGATTAGAAGGGAAAAGGGCAGACAATTACATTTCAAAGCATCCATGTGAAAACAAACCAGGAAAGAGACGTGAGGATTTGAGGAGAAAAGATTCTTAGTGCGTTTCAGTGAATTATTAATGAGATAAATCGTACATTAAATCAGATCAGAGGAGATCATAAATGCGCAGTATATGTTATCCTTTTTCATTCGGTTACAGCGGAATATAAAGGAAAAAAAATAAAATAATCAGGAGGGAAAAAATCCAGCGACTGTAAAAGAGTTTTTGACAGATATTCTTGTTATACCGTGTCACACTGAAGTCTGGAAATAGAACATGAAGGAAATTGTGCAGCTCATTCAGTCAAACTGACGGATAAGGAGTATTTGTAGCGCAACCTTATGATCTGAAATGATTTGTTTCAGTCTTTTTGAGAGGAACGTCCCCAAACCGGAAGTGCCTCCCCCCATAATCTAAAACACAGTGGGTTAGTTAGGGAAAAGGCTGGATACTCAAGACTATCCTGGCTTGCACAGAGATACAATTGTTTTTAAAGGTTATTTATTCTCTTGCAAGAAAAGGCCAACAGTCACACAGAGTGCCTGCAGAGTGTGACGGAGAAGAGGGCATCCTTTCTTCTTCATGGTTGACTCCCTCTATGTGATCATGGACAACATGTCCCTTAACTAACACATTGTTGCATCCTACTACTAATATGTGCATGGCTTTTTGTCAAGTCAAGTATACAAGGTCATACACACACAGATAAGGGTTAAAGGAGTAGTTAAAAAAAATGTACTCACCCCCATGTCATCCAAGATGTCCATGTCTTTCTTTCTTCAGTCGAAAAGAAATTAAGGTTTTTGATGGATTTTTCTCCATATAATGGACTCCAATGGGAACCAAACGGTTCAAGGTCCAAATGAGAGTTTCAGTGCAGCTTCAAAGGGCTTTAAACGACACCAGACGATGAATAAGGGTCTTATCAAGCGAAACGATCACTCATCTAATAAATAAATAAATAACAAAGTTTAAGTTTTATAAGCTCAAATGATCGCCTTGCTCTGTTCTGTTATGCGTTCGTGACTCTCCTGTTCAAACTCGTTCATCAAAATAAATGAATATTTTTTCGAGTCATTTGGTTCATTCAACGAACAAAATGAATGAAATATCTTGAAAAGAGATTTGTTCATTTTAATGAACGAGTTTGAACAGGAGAGTTACACAGAACAGAGCAAGGCGAGCATTTGAGCTTATAAAACTTAAACTTTGTTATTTATTTTTGAAATGAGCGATCGTTTCGCTAGATAAGACCCTTATTCATCGTCTGGTGTCGTTTAAAGCCCTTTGAAGCCGCACTGAGACTCTCATTTGGACCTTGAACCGTTTGGTCCCCATTAAAGTCCATTATATGGAGAAAAATCCTGGAATGTTTTCATCAAAAACCTTAATTTCTTTTCGACTGAAGAAAGAAAGACATGGACATCTTGGATGACATGGGGGTGAGTAAATTATCAGCAAAAAAAAATTTTTTTTTAAAGTGAACTACTCCTTTAATAGTTCCTTGTTTCATCAATGTAGCCGAGAATCGGGACTTACTGCTGGGTTGTTTTAACCCAAATTTGGTTCAAATATGGACAAATCTAGACGTTGGGTTACATCGGTAAATATATATATTTTTTAACCCAACATTTGAGTTTGTCCATGTTTGACCCAAAATTGTACACTGTAAAAAGTGTACACTCTAAAAAAGTGCTGGGTTGTTTCAACCCAAATTTGGGTCAAATACTGTGTGGACAAACCCAAATGTTGGGTTAAAAATGCAATAAAAAAAATGCACAGTTGAAAGTGATAGTTGAACTTGGGTTAAAATTTGAAATTACATTTTTAACCCAACATTTGGGTTTGTCCATATTTTACCCAAATTTGTGTTCAAACAACCCAGCATTGTTTAGAGTGTATAAATATAAGAAAATGCACATATATAGAACATATTAAATGGCTTTCACACCAGCTACCAGAACGTTTTGCTAACGTTCCCATTAAGATATGAAAACAATATTTCTGAACGTTTCCTGAACATACTAGTTTTTTTAAAAATTTGTTTAAAAAAAAAAAAATCTTGGTTGTGTGAAATTGAATGTTAAACAGTGAGCAAACGTTATGGGGATATTACGGTTTGAAACAAGTTTAACTAAACGTTTTTAACAAAACAAAATGTATAAATGTTTTCGTGGTAATGTTTTGCTGATGTCATTAAAGACCAGATGAATTTGAATAAACGTTCCATTATCGTTACTGAACGAATGTTTGTTCTTCACGTTCTGGAACTTTGAATCTCGCGTAGCGAGTTCCAGAACGTTCCCTGTTCTGTTCTGGGTGTTAGTTTCAAGACTGACAAATCAATATACTACTGTACTACTAAAAGCTGAATAAATGCATTTTTTTGCAATATGTCCTGCCCTAAACGTCTAGTTCAAATAGAAGATAATTGAACCACAAAAAAAAAAAAAAAGAAAAACTGTGCTCATCAAAGCATTTTATGAGGTTTTTCATTTAGCTGACAATGCTACAGGGTAATCCATAGCAAACGCTGACGTCTGAATTATGCATCATCTGCCTGTTTATTCAGCAGCATTGTTTAATGAATTATTAGACAGAATCAATAATTTATGAAATTATGATACGCTTCCACACAGTAACAGATTAGGCAATTTTCAAGTGTCAAAAACAAGCGTTTTTTTTTACCGTTACGATATATGGGTTTGTGCATCCATCACACTTCAACTACTTTAATTGATTTGATCCTCCACTGAGTGAGAAAGAAGATTGAAGAATATTAAGCGAAGATCTCCCAGAGGAATATTAGATGTTGAACTTCTGAGAAGGTTTCTATCTTGAGATTTACGGCACGCTCTTCCACTAATTGGATCCTCCATCTTCAGGAGCCGCACGCAGGGCTACAGTCACAGGGAGATATTAGACCGATATCACAAGAAAGCTCATTATTGTATTGATGCCCTGTAAGAATACAGAGACCGATACAATAGATCACTAGAGTCCTACTGCCGAATTTAATAAGTTCTTCAGGTAGTGGATAATGAACTCGGCTGCTGACTATAAGGGCGAAGGTTCAAACCCCGCAATTGTAATAGCTAAACTTGTTTAATGCTGTCATTTTTACGTTTGGATACACACTGAAGCTTACAATATCTTTGTGTTGACAGTTATTCACATGTAAATACTTGCATATAAAAATGAAATATTTAGGCAATATGTAATTCATAGACTTGTATTTATAATAAATCCAAGTATTTTTAATGCTATAAAAAATTTATTTAACATCTCATTTTGTATTAAAACGGCTGTTTTTTTAATGATTAGACTGGTCACAATAGTTTGCTTTTACAATAAAAATCAAGTGTTTTGCTTATAATTTATACTTGTAGAGCTTTTATGATGAATAACTTCCACCATATAAAGAGTGCAGAGTGCATTAATCTAATCACACATCCCATCTGGATTCATTTACGAATAAATTTACCATGAAAAACATCTTTCTCTGACTAAGTCTCTCCATCATGTATGAGAATCCCACTATGTTTCTTCATGTTGAATACCAGTATGCTTCCCAATCCATATTCAAAGTTTTCATCATGTATTACATTTATGTTTTTATGCATTTGGCAGATGCTTTTATCCAAAGTGATTTACACTGATGTTTATCACCCAGTGCTGCATCTGTGCATCTTAAAGGTTGTTCATATTCAGTGCTGATTACATATAATCCTGATTACATAATCAGATTTCAAAATGTATATACTTGTAATTAGATTTTTAGACTCAATTAGACTCACATCAGACTAAAGTTACATTTTTATTGATAACATGATTACTTAATATTCACAAAATGTTAGT